AAATAACGAGGATTTATATCTATATGTAAATTAAAAATAAATATAACTAAAAACCGCTGTAAACCATGTATTTTTATTTATATATTGTCCCACAAAAAAAATCACTTTTTTTGAAGTTATTTTTTTGTTAAAAATAAAAAACATTCCGCTGTTGCCATAACAAATAAAACTAAATACTGGTTGAGCGAGGCGAATTAAAAGCAATGTTCTTTCTGAAGCAAATGCTAGCAAATTTATTTCAGAGGTCTAAACACGAGTTATGCGTAAAGATGGTAACTTTGTTGAATGGATCGCAATGCTAAATTTATTAAAAAAATAGCGGGAGATTTTTTAAGCGGTGATTTTCTGTACATTTTCTGTAGCCATTTTGATTTTTGAATTACCTTACTCTGCGAGAGAAAACTTTTGTTCTTTTTTGTTTTGTTTATTAATGAAATTTAGCGTTGCGTAATTTATGGACGATCCCTAAAAAAAATCAGCAAAACGCAAAAACATCCGCCTGTCCAAATACCCAAGGTATTTGGACAGGCGGATATTTTTTCTCCACATGATCATGTTTTTTCTTCATATGATAGTTAGGCGGAATTTCAGCTCGTGTTCATAAGGAAAAAATTACTTTTTTCCATATGAATACTTTACGTTTTTAAGATCACGTGGTGTTTATTAACAAATAATCATTCACGTTAATTTTTAAATTAAAAACTAAAAATAAAAGTTTAATAAAAACTATTTCGATTTACAAAAAATCGTTTGTTAACTTTTAACTTTTACTATATGCATATTAACAGTGGCGGGCACAACGCCGTTAATCCGTTAATCGCTAATTATCTTTTACTCAGTAGTTTGTCAGTTTTACGTGAATAAAAACCTAAGAAAAATTTCTAAAATTTTTTATTCACCAATTAGTGGGTAAAAGTAATTGCTTTTTTATATACACCCGGCCTACTAGTTAGCTGTTAGCTCCCGCTAATATTTTTGGCCGCTAATATTCGTTAATCATAAAATAAACTCGGGTGAAAAAGTTCAATACTGCCATACCATCAAGTGCGGTTGTTGAAAGGTTAAAGATTAAAATTTTATTTTTTAAAACACTAAAACTATTAATTAAATTTCATTTTATGTTTGTATTTCACGTTTAATTTTTGTTTAAAGTTTGTATTTCATGCTTAATTTCATGTTTAATTTGTATTTTATGTTTAATTTCAGTTTTAATCATTTAAAAATAGCAAAGGTTATACCAATATTTAAAGGAGGAGATTTAACTAATATTAACAATTACCGTCCTATATCCATTCTTTTTGTTTTCTCAAAAGCTTTAGAAAGAACTTTTTATAATAGAGTATATACCTGTTAAATAATAATCTCATATATAACAACCAACATGGTTAAAAAAATTATAGTTCTACGGAGCATGCAGTTATCCAGTTTTCAAGAAGTATAACTGAATCTTTTGAAAATTCCCAATATACTTGGGGAGTTTTCTTAGATTTAGCAAAAGGTATTTGATACCATAGGTTATGAAATTCATATAAAAAAATTATAGTATTATGGAATAGCTGGTAATGTTCTAAAATAGATTACTAACTATCTAAGTAATTACATGCAACTTGTGTAAGTTGATTCAAATTGGCATAGAAATTTGCTTGATATAACATGTTGAGTACCCCAGGGATCAATCTTAGTACCCTTACTATTTCTTATTTACATCAATGATCTCTATAAAGCCTCAAACTTAATGACCATTATGTTCGCAGATAACATAGGGTAGTACAAATAAAAGTAAACTTGAACCTCTATATCGTCAACAAAAACATGCTGCATACCTTATTAATTCAAGGTAGCACATTACTCATGCCACGCCTTTCCTAATTGACATGAACATTTTTAGTATATACGAGCTGAATATTTTCAATGTTTTTTGTTTTATGGTTTTAAAGGTAAAAACATTATCTCCTGAACCCTTTCCAAATTCATTTACTTCAAAAGATAGACTTCTTTTCAATATCTATTCAAAAATGTATTTCCAGAAGAATTTTACAATGGTTGAAGAAAATATAAATTAAAAATAAAAATGCGAAGGTCTTTCGCGACCCTCCTACGCTACTATATATATATATATATATATATATATATATATATATATATATATATATATATAATATATATATATATATATATATATATATATATATATATATATATATATATATATATATATACATATATATATATATATATATATATATATATATATATATATATATATATATATATATATATATATATATATATATATATATATATATATATATATATATATATATATATTTATATATATATATATGACAGAACGGAACCGAACCCGAACATTATTTGTTGCTGAATGAACTCAAATCTTAAAATTGTTGGAAACGATCCGAACCAAAAAACGGTCCTCACCCTAACCAAACCAGAAAGAGATTTATGGAAGTAAAAATTTTACAATTCGTACTATAATAATGGACATATTATATTGTAACTATGTAAAATTATATATATATATATATATATATATATATATATATATATATATATATATATATATATACATATATATATATATATATATATATATATATATATATATATATATATATATATATATATATATATATATATATATATATATATATATATATATATATATATACATATATAATATATATATATATATATATACATATATATATATATATATATATATATATATATATATATATATATATATATATATATATATATATATATATATATATATATATATATATATATATATATATATATATATATATATATATGATTTACCAGCGGCGGCGCTAGGCAAATCGTGGACTTCGGCGAAATTAGCTTTGCGAGGCCCCTATATGTAAAAAAAACAACTAATAAAAACAAACCTTGATTTGGCCGAATCTCCGGGCTTGAATTTTTATTAAGCACTATATTTTATTGAAAGTTATAACCACAAATCAGAGCTGTTATTGTTAATAATGTTAAACATTTTAGTTTGTACCTAATTTTGATATAGTTATTTACACTTATTTGTTTTTAATATTTAAATATTAGGTTTCATTATAAGTTTCAAAATTTAGATTGAAAAATTTAGGAGGAGCATATACGTTTTTTTGTTTATTATGATATGAATTAATAACAATAATTACACGAGCAAACACAAATTAAAAAAGACGAACTTTTCGGCTTTTAGCCTTGCTAAATCTTTTTAAAAATGCTGTTATTTTAACTTCAATGAACAAAATGGATAAAGCAGATATTCTTTCTTGGCTCATCGTGCTTCTTAAGTAGGACTTAATTAGTTTTAACTTTAAGAAATTTCTCTCAGCAGACGTTGTACTTACTGGAATTGTGAGCATGATTCTGATTGTTATGTAAAGATTTGGATATATTTCTTTAAAATTATTTTCTAAAATGTACTGTATAAGTTGCTTTGAATCATTTATATTTTCTAGTAAAGTGGATTTTAAAATTTGCAATTTTTTATAAAGTTCGAAAGCATCTATGTTGCTGTTTTTACCTTCCCAAATTGTACTTAAATTATTAAAATGCTTGAGCAGGTCCGCTCTTGGCAAAAATTTCAAATAATTGATATCGTAAATAAAACCAAAACAACATAAATCGACATTCAGTGTCGACAATGACTGCGTCTGTTATTGTGTTGAAAACTTTTACTTTATACTGTGTTTCAGCAGATTGCATAGGTTCATCCATGCGTTCATTACCGAACATTCGTTTTTTTCGTGCTATTCTTTTTTCCTTAAATTGTGACTCAACTTCATTTCAAAAGCATCTGCAACGCTTTTCTCAAATCCAGTATCACGGAATTCTTGAATCCAAGTACAAAATGAACGTAAAATACCAACAGCAACTTTTAAGTTTACTGGAATCGATTGCCATAGTTTACTTATATTATTTACATGTAATAAAATCACACGTGTATAGCAACAATAAATTCGAAAGTTAAAATTTTTTTCAAAACTGTTTTGCAGTTCTTTAGAGTTTCCGAATTGTCCGTTTTATTTTTAAAGTCATTCACACATTCGATAAAACTATCAAATTGCAATAGTATAGCTTTTACTGCTCTTCTTCTACCCTCCCGCCGTGTCTCTTAAAGAGGTTTTAGTGTTAGTTTCAATTTAGTTTTTGTAAGTTCCCAACGCTTGCTTGACTTCGAAAGGAGTACATAGATTTTATTAAAAAAACCAAAAAATGTTTTTGCTGTTGTAAAAGAATTAGCTGCATCTATAAAAGGTAAATTCCAGTTATGACATCCGCACGGTGTGAAGAATGCTCTTGGATTAATGTTAAGTATTTTTGCTCTGACACCTTTATTAATGCCTACCATATTGGCGCCATTATCATACCCCTGTCCTCGACAATTTTGTATATCCAGACCATTTCTATCTAATTCTTGTAATATGGAGTTTGCTAAATACTCTCCTGTAGTTTCCGTAACGACAATAAAATCAACAAAATGTTCCTCTATCGCTCTAGTTGAGGAATTGCAAAATCTCAATATTATTGACATTTTTTCAAAACGACTTGCATCTCTGGTGCAATTGAGCATTGTATTTTTCTTGTTTAACTCTGTGTATAATTTCATCAATAACTATTTCAAACATCAATGCAATTAATTCATTTTGAATGTTGTGGCTTAGATAATTTTGAGCAATTTACTTTTCATTAGTTCGTTGCAAGTACTCCTTTAGCATCAGAGCATATTTGGATAATAACTTAAATAAGTCTATAAAGATACCACTGTTTCTGCTATTGTTTAGGTTAAGTGATTTGCGATGACCTCTAAATGCCAGATTGTGTGAGGCTAAAAAGTTTGTTATATCAACCAATCTTTGAAACACGATGTACTAATATTTTTGAGATTATCTAATTAATCCCTCATTTTTCTCATTTATTGTTTTTCCGTTTTTAATTCTTTTATAAAATTCTATTCATTTAACCATGCACTCTATGTGTCCCTGATTTTTTTCATGTTGATGCAATATCCGACTTGGATCTTTCCAGTCACAACATCCTTCTTTCACCATCTGAGTCTGTGTATGCGAAAGAAGTCTACAAGGAAAGCAATAAACTTTATCTTTTGACAAGGAGTAAACTAACCTGCGGTGTTGAGTTTCGCTGTTAATCAGTTTTTGAGTAAAATGAAATTTAGAAAAATTTCTGTTATTTGTGTCTTTAAGGTAACTTTCATTAGATTTCTCTATATTTTGATGGAGATTGTTTTGAATCAAGGCATGACGCTGACAGTCGGTTATTGGAAATGTCCATTTTCCCGCATCTAAGTTTATAAATGTTCTTCCTATATCTCTGTCTCTAGTTGGTTTTCCAGGCATGATTTTGGACTTATATTTGGATTCATGAAAAAAATTATAGTAAGGTACTTACATGAATTTTAGGTTTTGATTTTAAACTATTTTTTACGGTATTGACTTTAGGTCAAGATAGTCATAAAAGAAGCAGAACATATTTAATTAACTATTTAAATTTACGTGTAATTAACTAAAGAGTTAAATTTCATTTATAACAGTTTGTAATATTCACATTGTTTTTATAACAGATTGTAGTTTTAAGGATTAGCTGCACTAAATGCTTAAATAACTGCATTTAGTATTTAATATTTAAATTATAACTTAATAAACTAAGTTCGTTAAGTTATAGAAAAAAACTTAACTTATTTTCGTCAAAACATTATTTTTAAACAAACTTATTTTCGTCCAGCAAAGCAAAATAAGGTATGTAAAAATATCATCATTTATAATTAAGATACAATATTTAATTTTTTTAGTATATTTTTGCGAGGTTCCTTCATGCGCGAAATTGTCGGCAGTTGCCGTCGTCGCCGACGACCTCTGAAAGAAAATCATATTGATTTTATCATCAGAACCTTTACATTATTAAAAACAAAATAGTACAATAAATATTACTATAAAAAAATAAATCATACTATAAAAACTGCAGTATAAATCTAAAGAATGACCATAATGATATATCTGTAATAATAAATCCATAATAATAATCATGTATCTTTAATAATAACAACCACAGTTCTTTAATTTTTTTTTTTTTTTTTTAATATATATTTCGCTGTTCATATAATAATCAAATAATAAAGTTACAAAGAAAATTTTACGTTAAACAAAGTGTATATATATAAACAGACAGGGGCTCAAAGAAGATCTGGATGACTGGTGTCACTACAATCTTTTCATAGAGCCCCTTTAACAATAATATTTAAAGCCAAATATCTTTAAAAAGTTTACAATAAGATATATTACGTAAAAACATAAATTAAAAACTCCGTTGCAAATATAAACGATAAAAAATTTCAGCCAAACGAAGATTAAAAATAAACACGCAGAAGCATGTCAAATATATATAGTTAATATATATAAAATAAATAAGTAAATAAATATATATACATGTGTTTCAGAGATTTAGGAGATGCAATTTTATTTGTCGTTTAAAAGAGAAAGTGTTTTTCAGGTTTTTTAAACTGTTATTTTCTAATTGATTTCATAATGACGGGCCTTGGATTATAATTGAAAATTTTGACAGTTGTGATTTTACTCTACTCAAGTGATAGTTATGATTAGTATTTGATCGGAGATTGTATTTTTGGGAAACAGCCGATGTAAAAATATTAGAAAATACTTTTGGCAGCAGGTTATTCTTATATTTATACATAAAAATTAATATTTGAAGGGAATTAAGTTTTGATATATTTAGTACACTAATGTATTTCATTATAGGGGAAGGATTTTTTAATCTGTTTAAATAGTTAATAGCCCTACATGCATGGTTTTGTATACTCTGTAATTTTATTAATTTAGTTTTGTGTGTGTTTGCCCAAACAATATTAGCGTAGGAGAGATGACAATAAACAAGACTGAAATAAAGCATTCGAAGCGATTTATAATCAAGAAAGACTCTAGATTTATATATCGCACTAATAGCAGAGGGTATTTTTGTTTCAACGAGACTAATATGGTTTTTCCATGACAGGTTCTCATCGAATAAAAGTCCCAAAAACTTTGTATGATTTACGCGATTTATTTCATTTTTATTAATTTCCAGTTTTGGAAGCCTTAACGGAAGATTAATCGATTGTCTTATTTTAAGGAAGAGAGTAAAACTTGTCTTTTCACAATTTAATGATAATTTATTAGCTTTAAACCATTGGTTAAAACTTTCCAATTCAGTGTTCATTGTATCGAATAATATTTTTACATCGGAGTGGTTAAAGAATAAATTTGTATCGTCCGCATACATAATTGACGATATTTTATGAGAAGCTTTATTCATATCATTAATATATATCAAAAATAATAAAGGCCCTAAGATTTACCCCTGAGGGACTCCGCATACAATATCAAGAGCTTCTGACTCCTCCAGGACAACATACTGTTTTCTATTAAAAAGATAATTTTTTACCCACTTATACATTAGGCCTTTAATACCGTAATGTTTTAACTTTGAAAGTAATATTACGTGATCCACAGTGTCAATTTAATAATAAATCTATAATAATGATCCATAATAATGATCATAATAAAAAACCATAATAATTAATTTTATAAATCTGTTATAAATCAAAGAAAAAATATCTATTAATATAAATATTACCATAAATCTCAAAAATCAAGTTTTATTTCAAACTAATAGTAATTTAAAATGTCTCCATAGCAAGAATAAAATCTTTTAATTTATTTTTAAAAGCAGAAAAACGAATAAAAAGATCAAAAATTAGGCAGAATTATTTTGTTCCAAAGGTAAGGTGCGCGATAATCAGTACAAAAGTTTTGTTCTACAAAATGATTCATTTAGCAAATCATTATTTCTTAGTGAGTACTTATTAGTAAGTTTCAATGTGAAAAGGTCCTTAAAAACAGGTAGGGATAAATTTTTTAAACATAAAATATTAAAGACGTTGATTATTTTTATTTCACCAAAGAAAGGTTTTAAATGTGAACAGCGATCCATATATATAATTACGCAAATTGCATGTTTCTGACTGAATATATAATTTTTTATTTTTTTTTCAATATATAACTTATGACTATCTCTATATACATTTTTTAAATCTCGTACTAAATTCAAAAATTATTATGAATCTCGTACGAGGTTCAAAAATTATTATTTCACTCGTAATTAGCGATAAACAATAATTGGCTGTTAGCGCCAAGAGCATTTTTTTAATTTAACGATTCAACGTTAACGGTGTTAATTTTAAAATTAGCGTCAGATCTGTTAACGAAGTTTAATTTTACGTTAACTGTGTCCACCTCTTAGTTAGTTAATTTATAATTAACTAACTAAAAAAAAAATTTCACCTTTAAAAACTTTTCTCTTTCTTTTTAATGTTAATTTACCTACCTAAGGCCGAGAAGACCATTGCAGTTGAGGAGACAACTTTAGTTGTGGCTTCAACCCTCTATCGGGCCGCTGCGTGAAAAAAAAGTTGAGCGCGGTACAACCAGGGACGTGGTGGGGATCTTACTTGGAATCTTCTCGCTTATAAGGCGAGCACTCTACCACTACGCCACAACCGTATTAAGACCTTAACTAAAGTAAACATTTGTCTTATAAGACAAATGTGAAAGTTTTATAAATACATATAGTAGATTTGAAAATCAAAAAAATCCTATTAAAATTGTGTAACAAAGCTGTTCTTTTTATTTTATTTTTTTTAAATTTTCATGCTATATTTTTCTATACAATGTTCTTCTATCCGAAGGTATTGTTGGCTTAGCATAGGAACAGCCACAAATAGTCATAAGACTAATCCAAAGTAGCGTCCATTATTGACCAACGCTTTAGCGTACCGAAGTACTACTCAAGCGCTGAGTTGGCGGTGGCAGAATTTGATCTCATATCGTTCAACAGTCCGGATTTAAACTTTTTGTTTAACGCTCTAACCAACTGAGATATCCCGACACAAGTTCAGTCTACCTGGGATGGTATTCGACTTGTGTTGATATGAAGAATTTTCACCCCGCCTAACCGGGTTCCCGGTAAGTCATAGGCAAGATTACGCCAAGGCAGGGTGTATAATTTTACTTTTTTTTTCTGTAGTTATTTAGTGCTTTCATAAGTCCTTACAACCTTATCACAAAGCACCACGGGAGAGCATTTTACTAGAATTTAACAAAGCCAAGAAGTGACATTGGTAATAAGGTGTTAAAGTTATTGGTGTATGAAATTATTGGTGGACGTGTGTTTCAGGTACTCCTGTAATAAAGTCTTATACCAAAAAAATGTGATGAAAACCATACCCTAACCAAACTCTAACCCTAACGTTTAGGGTTAGACTTAGGGTTTAGCCCAGGGTTTTGGTTAAAGTATGGCTTATAGTAAAATAAACTTTTTTGTTAAGTTCAGGGTTATAGAATGGTTTTCAATAAATAGTTTGCGTGACTAAAATAAAACGTGACTCGTTTTTACGGACTTACCAAAGAGGGTACCTGAAATACAGGTCCGTCAAGTTATGTATTTTATATATAACAACTTAAGTAACTTTTTGCTTAATAAGCTAATGTGTTATACCAAAACACCTATTTCACATTTCATATTTGGATTCTTTACTAATGAGACCGTTAGGTCTCATTAGTAAAGAATCCAATGATCGAAAAAATTCAATTTCAGAAATAATGAGACCGTTAGGTCTTATTAAAGCACTTAAATAACTAAAAAAAGTAAAGTACCTTATCAAAAAGCAGTTATTTAACGAGGTGTAAAAAGGTACGCGTTTTCATTTTAGCGGTTCTTAGAGACAAGATCAAATTGTTTTCATCAACTTTTATACATTTGTAATTCTTTTTCTTTTCTATGAATAAAATATTTGTTTGTAATTATTTTTGTCTCAATTAACCCAAGAACCTCTTTAAAACTCATCGTATAAATTTCAAATTTGAACCTGAGTTCTTGTTATCTCAACCGCTAAAATCTTTCTTTGTACACAAAATCTTTAAGTTTAGATTTGTTTGTACTACAACAAACAAAATTGCTAATACTACCAGCACCAGTAAATACACAAGCCACTGCTTTTTAAATCTAGATCAACAACATCTAGTACCAGCATACGTTGTTTAGCACTAGTCAACTCGCCTGCAATCAATCTTCAATAATGTAGTAGGTACAGTACGAGGGAAGAGGGTTATAAATTGAGGGGGTGAATTCTTAAAAGTACCGACTGGCTTCTTAAAAAAGAAAAAGGTCCTCAAAACTGTGGAACATCCCCCCTCCCCCAAAGAAGGTGATTTTCAATTTATAGTCGGCTAATCTTATATTTGACACAATTTAGGCGGGTAAATTTTAGTTTTGAGAACCTTTTTTTTTTTTAAGAAGCCAGTCGGTACTTTTAAAGGATTCAACCCCCCCCCCTCAACTTATTTGTATAATCGCTTATGTTACTAATGCATGCCATTTTTTGCTTACAAAATATTTATGTAAACTAGAGTTAAATTAGAGTAAATTGGAGATGGATAGTTTTTTTAAGACAACAATAGACAAAACATATACGAGTTTCCGTATATAATTTTTTGGAAATACCCAGATGAACACTAACAACGTGCCTATCGTTAAATAAAAACTATACCGCTAGAAAAATAGTTACAAAATTATAAACCAACAAATAGTTGATTCTTTTAGAATAAATATTTGCTGAATTCAAAAGAGTTAGTTTTATTTTTAAACGCTGAAATATTTTTTGTATACACAGCTTCCGAGGTCACATTGTTCCATATTTTAACCACTTGGTAAGAAAAACTATATGTTCTTGAGTCCAAAAATTTTTTGTGTATTTTATATATATGATACCGGTAGTAGTTATTGCTGTCAATTGCAAAGAATATTGATCGATGTTAAAAAAATTGTTGATCAAAGACTCAAAGACCATGCAAATATAAAATAGATGACTGATCGGATAATCGTTGGAGGGATCCGAATGTTCTCCAGAGTTTTTAAAAATTGGAACAACAGATGTCATTTTCCAGCAAGTAGAAAAATAAGGCTCAGTCAAGCTTTTTTTTATTCAATTTTCTCTTAATAAATAATTTAGAGAAAATTGAAAAAAAAAGAATTAACGGGGCTCGGTGAGAAGACAGCCAATGTCTTCTTCTTGCTCCGGCCAATTTTTATAAATGTAATATGTCTTTATTGTAAATATATGAAACAGCAAAAAAAAAAAAGGAGAGAGTTTTGGAGAACAATTTTGTAAGACAATGACAGGAAAGTTCTTTAGACCACAAGCCGTAGAAGAGTTTAATTGAGATATGACTTTAGAAACGGGAGCTGGAATGGTTTGTCTAACAATAAATTAACCTGTTTAATTGGAATTGAAAAAGTAAAAAATCAAAGATTTATAAAGGTCATAGCATGGTTAGAATCACTTAAAGGAGAACAAAAAGAAACTAAACACAAGCTAGGGTAAGAGAAAGAGTGATCAATTTAATCAGAAGTTCTTCGGTACTTCAGTGGTACCCCAAGAAATAAATTAAAGTTTGATTGGAACTAGAGCACACTTATTTTTTACAACATAAATACATAATTTAAAACAATTTTCAAAAATGCTATCAAACTTGAAAATCTTTGCCTCGATTACTCAAAAAACTGAAAAAAACTGAAATTTTGTGAAGTAATTACTCAAAATTTACTAGTCATTTTAGCATGAAATTTGGAACATTCTTTATCATAAATCATTTGAGAGAAAAGAAATGAAAACAAATGAGTATTTTAGAAATTATGCATGAAACACTATAAAGTAAGCGAGATCTAAATCTATTTCAAGATCTAAAATGTATTGAAAAAAAATCTTTTCTCAAATGAGTTTTAATAACATGAAGAACAATCTGTGAAAGTTTTTTTGCATAATTATTTAAAAAGTTATCACGCAAACTTTGAAAAATAGTGAAAAAGTATATTTTGAGATTTTGTGATATAAAAATTAAAATTACTCAAAAAGCATAAAAATATATATATAATTTCTGGAATAAATATATTAAAACAAATACCTCCACGTTCATATGATATTTTTTTTTAGTTATCTTAACTTTATTTGAGTATCCTTTTTTTAAATACTATTTAATTGTTTACGTCTCTTTATTTCTTAAGGGTACCACCTTAAAAGAATTTTTTTTAACTATTTCTTTACTGTGGAAATGAATTAGATTCAAATTTTGCAAACATATCTCATATTTAATAATTTGGAGCTATTTTTTGAATTAATTTTGAAGATAATTATAATGATAACACCTTCTTTGTTATATACCAAAAGAAATCTTAATTTAACCTTTTTGTCTTCGTTTTTAGTAAAAAAATAGTTGTCAACCATGACAACAGTTGTAAATGAAGATATGTTTCTGGATGAATTTTTTTTTATAAGAAAAACGATGTATTTATTTGTCAAGTTTCTGTCAACAATAATGAAGCTGGGAAAATTTGTGACGCGCTGATTTATGAAAAACGAGTAAAAAAGCCTACCTCAAAGATGAAACATCACATTAAAAAAGTCACGGAACACTTTTCAAAAAAATTGCTCTGGAACAAGGCTAAAAAAATTCAAGTTGCTTTTGAAAGCGTTCTTGATACAAAAGAAACAAATTCTTGGAATCTGTACCGACAATGGGTCAAACATGGTGAAAATAATAGAACTTCAGAAAGTTCCTGAAGATACTCTTTTGTTGGTTTAAAAGAAACTCAATAAACACTGTTTTCAATTTTATAGATTCGAAAAAGTTGGTGAATTTTTTCTACTGGAACTTGCTATATCAATGTATTCTAAAAAAAATCAGTTAGTATTACTACTTATTAATATTTAGATTACAGGTTTTTTTTAACTTCCATTTATACTTGTATTTTTGGCTTTTATTTTTTTGATTAAAAGTTTAAAAAAAGTTATTTATATTGTCATAAGATAAGTAACTGATGAATGCAAAATATAGCTGAGTTAGTGTAGATTTGTCTAAGATTTGACAGGTTTTATATAAAATACCAATGTTTTTCGAGATATTATTGCGAAAATATTAAATATGATCTCTCCAGTATAAGTTTTCATCTATTAAAACACCATGTAATTTTTTTGTGAAAAAGCACTCAATTTTGATGTTATTTATATATAGCATTAGTAAGGATGTAGGAGTATAATGAAACTTTCGTTTAGAATGGAATAAGGAAAACTTTTTTTTATCAATGTTTAAAGATAAACTATTAACGTTAAGCAAGTATATTATGATATTTGTTCCAGTTCTTTATTTGCTACTTGAAATAGAAAGATAATGCTACTGTGAGAATAAAATAAAGTGATGTCTTCTGCAAACATGGTAGTAGAAATTATTTATTTATAGTATTTGATGCTCTATATAAATCGTTGACATAGATTAAAAACAGTAGAGGACCTAAGATGAAGCCTTCAGGAACCCCACATGATATTTTAAGTTTTTTATCTAAAAACCGTCACTTAAAGGTATGAATTGATCAGTAAAATAGCTGATAAACCATTTATGGTATTCATAGCATATTCCATAATATTTTTGTTTTTTTAAGTAAAATCTGATGATTAACGGTGTCAAATGCTTTTGACAAGTCTAGGAATATACCTAAAGTGAATTTATTGTAAGAAGATGCTCCGCTGATTAACTAATTGTATAAGTGCATGCTTCGTTAAGTAATTTAATCGAAAACCATATTGGTTACAATAAAGAAGGTTGTTAACATTATTACATTACCTTTTAGCTCTAACAGTTTATTTTTGAAGTATGTAGTTCTAACTATTTTTTTAGTTCTTTCATATAAATGTTTGTGCTCTAACTTTAATTCGAATTTTGTTGCTATGAATTTAATCATAAATTCATAGCAACAAAATTCTCTAATAAAAAAATTGCGCTAAAATAAAATAAAAAAGCATTTAAAAATGGCCGAAAACTATTTTAACATTAAAACCTGTAACACACTATACGCATTTTGAAATCATTTGTATTCCGAGGTTGGCCCGACGTCGTTACGACGTTAGCACGTATTTATAAAATTGTCCAACGCTTCCGACGTCGTTCCGACGTTGGCCCAATGTATGCGTGCTAGCTGGATAGGTCTTCTTGAGACACCTAAAAAAAAAAAAAAAAAAAAATAATCAAATCAATGAAATAAAGAAAAAGTAAGTTACTCGTTAGCAGGTGCTTCTCACCATAAGAATGAAAAATAATCCGTTTAGTTTGTTGTTGTTGTTGTTGTTAACTTAATCATTAACTTTATCAAAACAATGTGTTAGTTTAAAGATATGGATTATATTGCATCATAGGCGCTTTTGTAGTATTAAAGATGTCTCAAAGTCTGAAAGCCCATTTTGTTGCTTTGCGTTGAATAGATTTAACCAAAGCTATATCAGTTTTTAAATAGAGTGTCCAAAAACACACTGCATGTTTGAGGCGTGGTTTTATAAATACTTTATATCATTTGAAAGCCTTTTTATTCGTAAATGAAAGTGAATGTCTTTTTAACCATACTAAGAATTTGTAGAGATTTAAAAAAATTGATTGAATTGAAAACTCCCCTTGAGGTTAGATGTAAAAGTAACTCAGTAATCAGTAATTTGGGAGTGATTTGAAACCACGCACTTTACGTGATTTGAAATCATGCGCTCAAGTAGATTTTCTTAGGCATTGATTTATACATTGATTATACGGTTGGTTTGACCGTAACGAATAACAAAGCTTTTTTTTAATCTTTAAGTTTAGCAATCTAGTGTTTTAACACTCGTATATCAAACGTAAACGTTCCCTCAGATCAACGAGATTAGTCTGCAATAATATTTTTGAATAATATTTGTTTAATTTAAACCATTTAGAAATTTTGATTATTTCAACATTCACGCTGCCAAAAAGTGTCATAATGTTGTTATGAGAGAAAAGTAAGTTAGAACCATCAGCAAATATAATGGCCAATAGGTTAGAAGCTTAAAAAAGGTCATTAATATATAAAAGTCATTGAAGAGATATTAATATCCTTGTAGAATACTTGAGGAGCCCACATGTAATATTTTAATAAATAAGATGACATTCTCTCATCCGTATAAACAAGTTTCTTTCGATTATTTAGATCACCAATTAACCAAAACAAAACGGCAATCTGCTGTTTGATCGTGTGTTTTATCATCCAAACTTACTTTATAAAAATTTTCATTCTGTATTATTAACCTGTTTTGGATATATATATATATATATATATATATATATAAAATAGAAATTAAAAAAAGATGGCTGACGAAATTGACTATTTGGTAACTTTTAGACCCATGGATATTAGGAAAAACTTATTTACCTCGAAAAACATATACTAGTAAAAACCTATAAATATCGAAAAATCGTCTTATAATACATTTTCAATTCCGTAACACCTTCACTTTTTAAAAAGAATATCATGATCAATATCAAAAAATTTTGCCAAATAAATGAAACCATCCAAAGTAAATTAAGAACTTTCAAATCATTCAGAAATATTTCTAGTAAATTGAAGAATTACGTGTTATTTTTTTAGAATCCGTATTGACTGTTGTATATCAAACCATTGATAGTAATTTGGTTATAAATTTTGTTGTGCAAAATTCCTTCTAAAATTTTAGAAAATGCAGTTACTAATGTTCTCAGTTGTCTTTTAAAGTATGACTTTCGCTAGTTTTAGAGCTTGTGGAAATATTCCTTGTTTTATTGATATTAAAAAAATATTAAAAAGTATATCTTTTAAAACATCGAATTAACTTATAATAATAATGCTATCACTAACACCAACAGAGCTTAATGCTTTGTTAGATTTTAACATTTGAAAGGCATTTTTAAACTCTTCAAAAGATAGTTCAAATGATTTCAAGTAATTGTTTAAAGGGAAGTATGTAGATGGTATTTAATGTAAAAAGCACACTAACACATCCACACACACACTACGGGCATTTGTTTTTAGAAGTTACGTTCTAAATGTCTTTTAAACGTTCTTTACGTATAAATGTTTAGAAGACATTTAAAAGACATTTAAAATACATTTATAACGTAACTTTTAAAAAAAAAATGCCCGTAAGGCACACTCAGAAGTTCAATATTTTTGAGGACAATACAAGACTTTTCTACTTTAGATTAAAATGAAATTAATATTCAAAAAATTGCCAAGCATTTTTTTAAGAAGTGGATAAATTTGCAACTTGTAGATAATTTTTTAGTTTTTAATAAAAAAAGTTGATATTTCCAGAAAAGAAAAGAAACTGTTGTACAACTTTGACACAACTCTAGTCCACCGACTAACTGGAATTACATTATTTAAAAGTCTATTATTAAAAAATTCCTTCACACTAATTTAAGATCGTAAGATCACGTAATGTAAAAATATATATATATACATATATATGTTTTATTAATGTCATATTATTTACAAATAATATTTAAAATTTAGTTTACCTTTTAATTATAAAAAATAAATAATTTGCTTCGTATGATAAAAATTAAATCAGCAAATATTCAAAAAAACATATAAAAAAGCGCTTTAATGCAAGTTATAAGCAATGCTTAGAAAAAGTTGTGCGTTGGTGCAAAGTTAAATACAAGTTATAGGTGTTTAGAAAAAGTTGTATGTGCTCAGTATATAGTTATAGGTGTTTAGAAAAAGTTGTATGACGCACAGTTAAACCTAAAAAGTTATTTTAAAAATTTTTAGTATACAAATAAAAGAGTTTAATTTACAACAGATAAAGTTAATGTTGGTTGTACTGCCTTTAAGATTGCTTCTTCGGATAACATTGCAACCGGGTTTGATAGCGTTGCATTAAACGTACTCTTCATTAAAGTATGTCTTAAAAGCGGACTTAACTAAAAATAGATAAATAAATTAAAGTTTTATAAGTTAGGGTTTTAAACTCGACTACATAGCTAATGCTCATTTAAGACCAACTAAATATTTTTTTAAACCTGATAAGTTCCAGGCCCAGGAACATCACATTTAACCGATTTGAAACGTACTTCCTTTGAAACTAAATTACCACCAGGTGCTGAATGTTGTTTCATATCGTACTGACCTGGACCTAAATATATTTAAAAAATAAAATAAAAATGGTATTATATTATTTATAACAGGAAAAAAAAAATATTTTTAGATTTAGATGAGTTCTTGAGGTTCTTTCTTGGACAAAAAAAAATTTGATGGGTCCTAATACTAGAATTTTTTTTTTTAGAACTATGTCAACAGCAAGGGCGTTTACAGGAAATTTTTTGGGTAAGTTCAAAAAAATACTGCCCTCCTCCGCCTCCCTATTTTTTTAGAGAGGGAGAGAGGGTAAGATTTTGACCGGATTGAATGTATTTTATAAAAATATTTTAGTTCTTAAAATGACTTGTAACATTAATAAAATGGTCACTAAAGCTCAAAATATGATTTTTGCAAACTATTTTTGAAAATACTTATTTGCCGTATAATATATAGAGGTTAAAATTTTTTAAATGCAAGATTTTGCTGTGTAGTTTTTTTATATAACTTTACAAATAACTTTTAATTATAAATAAACTTTATAAATACTTAGAGTCAAAAAACTTATTGCAATAACTGTACAATGCAAAATAATGTTTTTAAAAAGATGTCTGGCTATAAAATAGCTGTTTAACAAAAAGCAGCTTAGACATTTTTTGAAGTTATACTTTTATCTTATTTGAATTTTATTTAAAACACAATTCATAAGTATTTATAACAAACTTGTTAAAAACTTGTTTACTATCTATAGACTAAAAAGCTAAGCTAAACCATTTAGACTTTATCTACCATTTTGATTTGCAACATCTACTTACTATTCTCTTATAACCTTTTAGACACCTCAATAAAGAAAAGGTTTGTTGCTTGTAATGTTTCAGTATTATTAGATTAAAATTCATTTTTGAAATTCAAGCAGTTAAGTGAAATTCAACTACACTTCCCACAGGTCAAATTGATTATTAGGTTTATTTATTATTTCCAAGCCTTTGGTTCGGAAATAATAAATAAACCTAATAAAGCCTTTGGTTAAACAAAAGACATTAAAAAATATGATTTGGTCTTCCCAACTAGTATGACAAAATATTGAATTTCTACAATTGTTTTTAGAAGAAACTGAATATAAGAAAGAAGAAATTAAAAATTTCTTTAAACTCAGTAATCAGACAGTCTAGCAAAGAAACAGTGATAACCAAATTAAAATAATCTGAAGTGCAATTTTTAGGCTTGTTAAAAGCATATTTGGAGGTGTTGATTAATCATATTTCTAACTATAGAGACAAAATATTTTAATGCTTGAATAAGATTTAAACTATAAAGAATATCATTATTACTTGCTTGCACCATCATGTAATTAAAAAAGTTATATTAAAAACATGTCTTGTTATACACAGTGCAACAATAAAATCAAAATTTGTTATTAACTTGAGTAGAAGAAGCAGTAGCAGAGGCCGCACCATTAATGACATTATTTGAGACAGAAAACTTCAGGTATAAAAAACTTTTGTAAAGTATCCATGCCACAATTTCACATTTCATAACATCCAAAGAAAAATCAGTAATAGTTTTATATTAAAATACTAAATAAACAAGTTTTTCCTTAATGTGGTTTATCATAGTTCCTATTATAATTATCATGATTCTCATAAAGGATAAACAATATAGCTAAATAAAATTTATACTTAATAAGTCTAAAGTCTTCTTCTTGATTATCAAAGAAAACCAAGGAACTAGTTTTTATCAATCCAACTATAATTATATAAACAGCTTCTACTTGTAATAACTTTCTCTCTTCCTTTTTCTAATAACTCTCTGTCTTCCTTTCTTGTAATAACTCTCTGTCTTCCTTTCTTGAATCCAAAGGATATTGTGATATCAAAAATTCTACACAACTAATATAATATTCGATCGCCTAACCTTTAAAGGAAATGATGCTTTTCTTTAACATACTTTTTCTTTAAAATGCTATATAAACTTGTGAATTAAGTGACATTTTGAACTAATCATCGGCCATGTTATATGTTTAATAAAATTAATTAATTTAATAAAACACAAATTAAGCAGAGTGTATGGCAAAAGGGAAGTCCGAATTTTATTTTCCATTTTTGAAACTTTTTCTCTCCTTATTTATTACTTAAAATGCAAGTTATTATAATGATTCACAGTCTAGTGTAATAAAACTGGGATGTCTATTGATATATTTTGATATATACTTGTTGTTACTAACTAATTTTACCTCCTGGTGATAGTTAAACAATAAAACTTGATAAAAATTCTACTCAGAGTGTAAAAGTCAAAAGGGAAGTCCAATGCTTGTTCTAACTAAAATAATTATTTTGACTTTTTTTAAACCAATGAAAAAAAAAATTTTAAAAATAAAGTTTTATATAACAAAATAAAATAAGTTAACTAATAAAAAATAATATAAGATAACTAACTTTTAAGTTGAATAACTTAATTAGAAACTTGAATTGACATTCAAGTTTCTAATTAAGTTATTCAACTCAAAAGTTAGTTTAACCTCCATCAAAATATTGTAATTATTATTTAACAATCACAAAATTATGAAACCGATATACAATTATGTTTTCTGGTTTTTAATTTTTTTCCAACTGTTTCAGATAATTAATTGTGCATAATTTGTTTTGTTTTAGCTGTAGTTTAGTTTAAATAGTTACATATAGAAGACTTTTTCAACAATATAATCAAGTTGAAAAACTTTTATTTAATTTTTTTACATCCAATGGCGTACATCCAATGGCGTAGCAGACATCCCCTAGACACGCCCCTGAACAGGGTACTCAAAAGATGCAAAACTTAATTATGATTTTGAAAATATTGTTTATTTTTATTCAAAATTAAAACTATAAAAAATTTTTTTTTTGTTTTTGTTAAAAACCTCTGTTTTCAACATTATTTGCAAAAAAGCAATTTTATTTTCCTTTTTGTGATTTTCTTTTTTAACAAAAAGTTTTCATGAAATAAAATTTTTCTTTTCAAAACTAGAATTTTATTGTGTCTTTTGAGTACCAGGTTAGCATAGTTTAGGAGAAAAAAAATTCTTATATTAAGATTCCATAAAAATCTTGATTCCTAAAGAAATCTCAAGAACTCATTAAAAAAAAAGAAAAAAGTAAGGTTATTTTTTTACTAAAAGACATTGATTCAAAGCACAGGCAAACCTAATTTCAAAAATTCTTCAAATTGCTCCACCCTAAAATACATACATACCCATTGTATACAGTGGACAGGGTTGGGGTCAAATATGTATTTACATTAGTATTTGATTTGTTTATGCGACATTATGATTGCAAAAAGTGACTAACGGAGCTTTCCAGTTACATATACCTGGGAGATATGATAATAAAAACAGATTGTAGATGGTGTTGTTGAATAAAAAATAAAAATCATAAGAAAATATAAAATGAGTGGTAAGACTTTGGTGAAGTAGAAAAATGAAGTTAGGTTCTCAAGGGACAGGGGAGAAACAACTAACACTCTAGTCACTCTTTGTGTAGATCACATGTAACAAAGAACAAATGTTTAATTTACTAATTTTACAGACTGTTGATGTTGACAGGTGTGATAGTGTAGTGATTAGTATGTTGCGTTTGGTCGTCTATTATGGTCTCATTATGTTTTCATTCACTTCGCATAAATAGAAGGCTAAACACGCTAACTTTTTTTACTTATGGGCCATAGACCACAAACCATCACTCTTAGCCAAAGGTGCTACGACCTCATGCTGATAGGAAATGATGTGCTATGAAGTGAGATTTTAGATCCAAGCACATAGTCAGCAAGTGCTGATCCAACGTGCATTGTGGAGTTTCCGAATAAACATGTGCCCGAGTGCCAAATGGTGTCAAAGGGTTGGGTCAAATATGTATCTACATTTGTATTTGGTAAAAATGGGCTAATTTGGCGTATTTGTATTTGTATTGTACTTCATGTAAAAAAATTTCTTAAAAATTTGTATTTTTATTTGATTGAAATGTATTTACAGTTCCATAAACTAGGTTAAGCAATGTTTTTTGGCCAAACTACCAAGAGGTTTGCTGTTCTTTCTTTTAATTTGTAACACTAAAATAAATTTAAAATTTTATTCTTCTATATAGTAGACTATTCTATCAGTCTTGAAAAAATCTTTGTATTTTTTCTTAACCAAAATTACAAATATTTGCATTTGTATTTGGAAAATGCTGATTGCATATATTTGTATTTGAACTTGAAATTGTATTTGGAAATCTAGAACTACGGTATTTGTATTTGATCAAACGTATATGACCCCAATCCTGACAGTGGGTGGCCAAACTATCATTTACATTTAAAATTATCATTTACACTAAAATTATGATTAAACATGGGTTTTGAATACTTTGGTATCTAAAAATGGAAAAACCTAAAGATATATCAAAAGAGATTTCAGAATTTATCTACTTTATTAAAATACCATAATTTCAAAAATATCTGATTTATCATCCATTATACATCTGAATCACTCTCAAAAAAAGACTACACATTTAGTTAATGTTTCTGTGAATACAAGAAATAATTGCTGCAAAAGGCGATTCAACAAAATACTAAAAGCATTTTTGTATTGTCAATTTTCTTAAATAAATGGTTTATATATAAATATATATATATATATATATATATATATATATATATATATATATATATATATATATATATATATATATATATATATATATATATATATATATACATATATATATACATATATATATATATATATATATATATATATATATATATATATATATATGATTTAAAGGATAACATCTTGTGTGAGAGTATATTTATATATTATTTTAAAACATCAAAAATACGATTTCTCTCAACACTTATAATTTTTTATTATGATAGAAATTTTAGATACCAGCTTCTTCAGCTTGTTAAATGTTACAGTAATTAATAAAATCGTTATAATTTAAATTAAAACGTTGCTATTGACGTCAGCGGTTGAATGGCTTCTTTTTCGCTGAAATTTAAAAAATGGCGTCCAAAACTTAGTTTTTACGTATTGACCCTCATCGA